GAGTAGCTGGGATTACAGGCATGTGCCACCATGCCCAGCTAATTTTTTGTATTTTTAGTACAGATGGGGTTTCACCATGTTGACCAGGATGGTCTCGATCTCTCGACCTCGTGATCCACCTGCCTCGGCCTCCCAAAGTGCTGGGATTATAGGCTTGAGCCACCATGCCCGGCCATTTTTTTTTTTTTTTTTTTTTTTTTTGAGACAGAGTCTTGCTCTGTTGCCCATGCTGGAATGCAGTGGCATGATCTCAGCTCACTGCAACCTCTGCCTCCTGGGTTGCAGTGATTCTCCTGCCTCAGCCTCCTGAGTAGCTGTGACTACAGGCGCCTATTTTTTGTATTTGTACTAGAAGTAGGGTTTTACCATGTTGGCCAGGCTAGTCTTGAACTCCTGGCTTCAGGTGATCCATTCGCCTTGGCTTCCCAAAGTGCTGGGATTACAGGCATGAACCACTGTACCCAGCCTGAATCTTTATATGATCTTTGCATGGTAAGGAGCAAAAGAAAAAGAGGTTAGTACTTTTCAGGGGAGGTGAATTAAAACTTGGATGCCTCATTTTTAAAACCTCTTGTAAGGCTGGGTGAAGTGGCTCATACCTGTAGTCCCAGCACTTTGGGAGGTTGAGGTGGGAGGATGGCTTGATCCCTGGGTTCCGGACCAGTCTGGGCAATACAGTGATACCTTATCTCTACAAAATTTTAAAAAATTAGCCAGGCTTGGTGATACATACCTGTGGTCCCAGCTACTTGAGAAGCTGAGGTAGGAGGATCACTTGAGCCCAGAAGGTTAAGACTGAGGTAAGCTGTGACCTTGCCTGAGACCCTGTCTCAAAAACAAGAAAACCCCCCACAAAACACCCCTCTCATATACCCACCTGCAAGGGCTAATATATTACATCACTTTTGTTTTAAAGATCAAAATTTCTTTATTATAGTTCCTCATATCACGATTAAAATTTACTTAACACTAATTAAAATAATACAGGCATGTTTAAAAAAATCACACAGCCAGGCATGGTGGTTCACACCTGTAATTCCAACACTTTGAGGCTGAGGCAGGAGCACTGCTTGAGGAGTTTGACATCAACCTGGGAAAAAAGTGAGACAAAAAAGATTAGCTATGTATGATGATGGATGCATGCCTATAGCTACTGCGGAGGCTGAGGCTAGAGAAATGCTTGAGCCCAACAGTTCTGGATTGCAGTGAACTATGATTGTGCCACTGAACTCCTACTGGTTGACAGAGAAAAAGACTCTATATCAAAAAAAAAAAAAAAAAAAAAAAAAAAAAAAAAGAAAAGAAAAAAAGAAAAAATCACAGAGTACTATAGAGTATAGAATGAAAACTAATACTTTCTGCTGCCCTAGTCAAAGTTTGTCCCCATTAATGGCTATAAATATTCACTAACATTTTCTGGTGACTCCTTCCAGACATAACCTTGCACGTATAACAGCAAAAACATATGAGAACAAATGTGTAGTGTAGATTACTAAAGCAATACATATGTCTTAACAGACATAATCATCCCCTGCTATCCCTCATCATTATACAAATCCAGGCATACTTTTCTCATTCTTCTGCACTTCGCTTCCTTCATTTACTGATTATCTCCTGGAGACTGCTCGATAACTACACAAGTAGATCTACCTCATCTTCTGTATGACAGTCTACTGTAAGAATACTGTCTTGTAGTACTATATCTAACCAGCATCATACAGTCAGATATTTCGGTTGTTTTCTGCCTTTCTACTACAAACAATGCTGCAATGACTATTAGTAATATAGTATTAGTAATTAGTAATATAGTATTAGTAATATGCTTTGCCGCGTTTTTTCTTTTTTTTTTTTGAGACAGAGTTTCGCTCTTGTTACCCAGGCTGGAGTGCAATGGCGCGATCTCGGCTCACCGCAACCTCCGCCTCCTGGGTTCAGGCAATTCTCCTGCCTCAGCCTCCTGAGTAGCTGGGATTACAGGCACGCGCCACCATGCCCAGCTAGTTTTTTGTATTTTTAGTAGAGACGGGGTTTCACCACGTTGACCAGGATGGTCTCGATCTCTCGACCTCGTGATCCACCCGCCCCGGCCTCCCAAAGTGCTGGGATTATAGGCTTGAGCCACCGCGCCCGGCCTGCGTTTTTTCTTTTTAAAGAAGAATTTTCTATTTTTTGAGAGTCCCACTTTGGTGCCCAAGCTGGAGTACAGATCTCCGACTCGCTGCAACCTCTGCCTTCTGAGCTCATATGATCTTCCCACCTCAGCCTCTCAAAGTGCTATTACAGGCGTGTAACACCATGCCTGGCTAATTTTTGAAAATTCTTTTTTTTGTAGATGGGGTTTCGCATGTTGCTCAGGCTGATCGCTCAAACTCCTGACCTCAAGTGATCCATCCACCCACCTCCGCCTCCCAAAATGCTGGGATTACAGGCGTGAGCCACTGCACGCGGCCTGCTGCTTAATATTCTATATTACGTGTATATCTCTATCAAACAGCTTGCCAATTGATGGACATTAAGTGTTCTGTTTTTACGTAGTTTTTTTTTTTTTTTTTTTTTTTTTGAGACGGAGTTTCGCTCGTTACCCAGGCTGGAGTGCAATGGCGCGATCTCGGCTCACCGCAACCTCCGCCTCCTGGGTTCAAGTAATTCTCCTGCCTCAGCCTTCTGAGTAGCTGGGATTACAGGCACGTGCCACCATGCCCAGCTAATTTTTTTGTATCTTTAATAGAGACGGGGTTTCACCATGTTGACCAGGATGGTCTTGATCTCTTGACCTCGTGATCCACCCGCCTCAGCCTCCCAAAGTGCTGGGATTACAGGCTTGAGCCACCGCGTCCGGCTGTTTTTACGTATTTTAACAACACGGACAAAGCTGCAGTGAAAATCTTGACACGTCTTTGTAAACAAATGTGGCTATCAACCAAGAAGTGACATTATTGTTTTGGGGGATAGACATAATTTTACTAGATATTTAAATTGCTGCCGGGTGCAGTGGCTCACACCTGTTAATCCTAACACTTTGGGAGGTTGAGGCAGGCAGATTACCTGAGGTCAGGAGTTCGAGATCAGCCTGACCAACATGGTGAAACCTGGTCTCTACTAAAAATACAAAAATTAGCCAGGCATGGTGGCATGCATCTGTAATCCCAGCTACTTGGGAGGCTGAGGCAGGAGAATCACTTGAACCTGGGAAGCGGACGTTGCAGTGAACCGAGATGGCACCACTGCACACCAGTCTGGGTGACAGAGCGAGACTCCCAGCTCAAAAAAAAAAAAAAAAAAAAAAAAAACTGCTCGGCAAAAAGCTCATCACTTAAAACTCCCTCTGAAAGTGAAGAGTAGCCATGTCCTTCGTCGCGAGTCTCCTGGGTTAAATTACTAATCTGTAAATTTTAAATTTTGCCAATCCTATTAGTTTTTCCATCTGGAGAGTCATGCTGTGAAATGCCAATCTCTTAGTCTACCTTTTAAAAAACCTTGCAGGGCTTCTTCACGGTCCTCAGAGTAAAGGCCAGATTCCTCTGCAGGGCTAACAGTATCTTGGAGATTCCCTACTCCAGGAAACTTCCAATGGTTTTGTCTTCCTGGGGCCTGTTCCCTGGTTTTGGGAGCGCCCGGGCAACCGCGAGCCGGGAAGCTCATTTCAGACTCAGGCCTGGGGCTCCACCGACGGAGCCCGGCTGCTGCGGGACTGGTACCCTGAGGGACCAGAAGGCATTTTCACTTCGCCTCGGGGGCCTCCCGAGTTTCAGGCTGGGGCTAGTCCCGCGCAAAGAGGCGAGGGTGCCCGGCTCCCCCGAGGCTGCGGCCGGCGCCCGTGCTCCTTCGGCTCGGGTCCCCCCCCCCCCCCACTCTCCGCCCGCCGGGGCTCCACGTGCTTCATTTCCAAAATTCTCCGCAAAACTCCGCTGGAGACCCTCCCGCCTGGTCACATGCCTGGAACGAGAACACACCGGGAGGTGCCTGTGCCCGACCGGCTGAGACCCAACGCTGTTTCCATAGAATGTGCCCACCGCATCCCAGCGGGCCTGGCCAGCCTGGAGACTCAGCCCCGCCGATGCCCGAGACGCCGGACAGGGCGGACGGGTTGCCCTTCAAAGGCGTAGCGACGACAAGAAACCCCCGCCCGCGGCGATCTGAGGCTGTCACTATCGGCACGGCTCGGGACCTGGCGCGAGGGCCCAAACCCCACCGGAGAACGCGGGGTCTGCCGTGCCGTAGCGCCCGCCCTGAAGCGCCCGGCGGAACGGCGCGGGAGCGACTTTCCTCCCTCTGCCCCGCAGCAGTGCTGAGTAATGGTGAGAGCCAGCAAGGCTCTCGGCCGCCGCACGGAAGAAAAAAGTTGTCGTGAAAAAGAAGAAAGCAACCCGGGACACTCTGCCGTTTGGCTCCCCTGGTACCAAAGTGTGCTGAAAAGGCGGGGTAGACCCGACAAGTGAGGGAAAGAAAGAACGGAGCGCAGAAGCTGCAGCCTACACAGCCTCACAAGCGCCCAGAGGGCACGGCGGCCCTAAGGCTCGGTCTCTTCCGAGCCGCGCAACCTCCCTGTCAATCAGCTCCTTCCGGCGTTGCGATTGGCCACAGGCTTTCTTGGCCTCTCGGGCGCCCGCCTACTAGTTGCTTGGGGTTTACTCCCCCAAAGTACACGGGCCCCACCTTGTGGAGCAACCGCTCCTGCATGGAAAACGGATCTCCGCCCAGGGGAAGACGTGTTAACGAATAAGAGCAGTCTCGCCCATTTATTGGCTACTTTGGGTATCAGTCAAAGGCTGCTCACCCGCCTTTCCACTGTACTTTTCGGTTATTGGTCTCTCTTAGCGCCAATCTGTTACTAGGGAAACGGGATCCTCACAGTCTCATAGGCGTGAGTCAAAGCCAATCAAGAGCCACGCCTTCATCCTGAGTCAGTGCCCAATTGCTGTTCGAAGAGCGCTGAGGACGCGATCGGGATTGGTCATCCCCTCGCCCAACCTGGCCGCAACAAGTTAGGGTGAGCGGCAGTTATATACACCGGCGGCGGAGCACGCGTGTGTGCGGACGCAGTTGCGTGAGCGGTATCTGCCATCCTCAGTGCTGTGGAGCAGAGCTAGTTCCTCTCCAGCTTAGCCGCGCAGGTACGCCAGTGTGTGGGCGGGGCAGGGAAGCCGGAGGACGCAGCCAAGCGGCAGCAGTTGTGAGAGGGAGAAGTCTGAGCGGTGTTCGCGGCGGCCGCGCCAGGCGCGTCCCCCACCCCCACCCCCACCCCAATGGCTGCAGGCGCGCGCGGCGAACGGACGGGCGCGCGGCGGCTCCCCCTCCCCTCCCGGCTAGGGCGCGTGGCCGTGTCCGCCGCGTGCGCGTGCTGCGTCCAACGGCCACGCGGGGCGGGAGTGAGCCGCGGCCGCCGCCCGGGCCCCAGGGCGGCCTCGGGGGCCGGGGGCCCCGCGCCCGGCGTTTCCCGCCCGCCACCCCGTCCGCCACGCGCCCGCGGAGTCTTTTTCCTCCCCTGGCGGAGGGGTCCAGTCGGTCCGGAGCAGAAGGAGGCTTTCGTTTAGGGGTGGGAGCGGCGCTAAAGTCTGATGGGAGTCTGGCGGCCCCCGCGGCAGAAGTGCCCTTGGTTTTGCAGGGAGGAAAGAGGGAGCCGCGAGTGCACGGAGTGGTAGTAGCAACGCATGTTTTTTCCACGCCCTCGCTATGTGCCAGGCACTGTGCGGAGGCACTTTTCTGCCTTTCATTTGATGCTCGCAGGGAGCCGGCGAGGTAGGTACGGCCGTCCTTCCCCAGCGGCGCGAGGCACGGGGCTGGAGCGCGGATCGCAGGCTCGCGAGGGAAGGGCGGGGATGCCGGGCCCTCTGACTCACAGGCCCCCCACCCCCCTTCTAAGCCTGTTTGATTCTTTGTCCCCAGAGCCCTTGTCTCTGGGGACAGCATCAGCTCAAAAGGCCACCTGCCGAGAAGGCTGCAGCGGCATTTGTACTTGGCGAGTTCGGGGCTTCCCAGGGAGACCAGAGTTGGAAGTGGGAATGTGACAAAGGAGGAGGGTTTGAGCTTTCTTTCTACGTGTATTCGTGCAGGCGGTGGGTGGATGTGCCGCCCCAGTAGCTTCTGGAAAAAAGCAGGGAAAAAGGCTTAAGTGCAAATGAGCGTGGACTGTGTTCCTCATCGGATTTGAAACTCAGATTGGTGATGGGAAATTCCCGCCAGCCCGGAGTTAGGCTCCGGTTTTAGACGTTGAATCTTTTTTTTTTTTTTCTCGGCCTTTTTTTTTTTTAATTTGGAGGAGACTTTTGGAGAAAGACCTTGAGAAGGTTATAGTTGAAGGAATTGAGGTACAAAGCGACGAGTTTCAGATCTCACCAGCATCCGTGGGTTAAAATACGGAATTGGAATGAAAAGGCTAGTGCCCAGTATTCCTTTGATCTATGTGGCGCGTGTCAAGCTTGATGAATTACTGGTGTTGGAGATGTGTTGGAAAAAACACGTGTGTCGACATCTTCTGTGGGTGAAAGTTTGTCTGCACTCCGTTTATTTCTTCAGGGACTTGAGTTTATATTTTTCTAGTAGAGTTAACATTTTAGATTATTTGAAAGCCAGTATACTCCTTGGCTTAGTGAAATAAATGTTTCTATGTTATAGAAACACTTACATAAACATAAACATTTCTGTTAACATGTTCTGGAAACCCTTTCTATAAACATGTTTCTCTAACAGCATTAAAATATAACAATGTTCCAAGTAGCGTTTACTCGCTTGCCTGGTGTGGCAATTCCAGTTACCTGCCCTTACATACTGGTTAACTATTGAATTAACATTTTAACTTAGACTTAAAGATGAACAATTTAGGCTGCCAAATGGAAAAGCAGTAGAATGACCTACATTTAAATTGTTTAAGCTTGAGTCCAGCTAATTCTATTACTGCTTGAGGTAAGATAGAATGAAATTATCTTACGTGTTATTGAGGGAAGATTTTGTTGGTTTCTACTTAAAATATTTAAAAAAAAATAACTTCTTGGCCTCAGGCAAATGGTTATCACTTGGTCAGCAATATGAAAATTACGTTGATTATTTCAGATTGGTGCTCCAACTGCTCACTTGTGCATTCCTTTATCAGAAACAAGTGAACGGAAGCAAATTGTGGTAACGTAAGGCTTGGGCTGCCCCACATCCCTACCAAGTCATACGTTAGTTTTGTTGGAGCTGCTGCTTACCAGTGGAAAAGTCTAAGCTTTTGTACCTCTTACAGGTAGAAAAGTAGGCAATTCTTTGTTCTTTAACTCAGTTTGCTGTTCTCAGCTGACAGTCCACCAGGGGAACATTAGGAGATTTTGGTGATGTTCCTTTGTGACCTACTTAGAGCAGTTTTTTTTTTTTTTTTTTTTTGTAACCTATGTTACGGTTTTTCTTCCCCACCCCCCCACTCGTTCTAGTATTTGCGTAGAAAGTAAACGACAGAAGGCAGTTTTAAGTTTTTGTAAAAGTTTGTGAATTGCATATGGTCCTTAGGACTGATGGGGCTAGTGTTAAAAGATAAAATTTAACATAAAACAAACATTTGTGACTATAGCCAATTTTTTCTTTTTTTCTTTTACTTTTGTCAGTCTAATAAAACCTCCCACTTGGTCTTTTAACATTTGCAAATTGATTGGTTATTTTTTTTTAAGGTTTCAGAATTCAAATAAGCATTGTATGTTTGTTTAATTATATTGCGCTTTGGCTGCCTTGGACAAAACTATTCCTGACTTTACAGAGAAGAATGGATAATTGTGGGAGTAGGTAGGTCAAAAAAAAAAAAAAGCCACACCCGTCCCCCAGTAGTTTGTCAACAGCAGGTGGGAAAAACCTGTGGTGGTGCAGTACTGCCCTTCCAAGCCCTGGAGTTAAATTTAGATTCAGCAACTGTTATCTCACGTGTAGTTGGTGATCACAATGTGGTGACAAACTAGGTTTATAATTTTATATCTCAGAAATCAGCTGTTTACTTTTTTTTTAAGGTATTCTTGGACATCCTATCTGGATTCAGTTGGGAAGGCTAAATTGCAAGGCAGATGATAGGGTTAAGAGTAGGAATGAAGCCGGGCGCGGTGGCTCAAGCCTGTAATCCCAGCACTTTGGGAGGCCGAGGCGGGTGGATCACGAGGTCGAGAGATCGAGACCATCCTGGTCAACATGGTGAAACCCCGTCTCTACTAAAAATACAAAAAACTAGCTGGGCGAGGTGGCGCGTGCCTGTAATCCCAGCTACTTAGGAGGCTGAGGCAGGAGAATTGCCTGAGCCCAGGAGGCGGAGGTTGCGGTGAGCCGAGATCGCGCCATTGCACTCCAGCCTGGGTAACAAGAGCGAGACTCCGTCTCAAAAAAAAAAAAAAAAAAAAAAAAAGAGTAGGAATGATTCACACATGAATAGTGTCTTAATTTGTCTTACAAGGCGGAAAGCAATTTCAAAAAAAAAAAAAACTCTCACAGCCTGTAGCTTAGTAAATAAGGTCTTGAGGTGACTTTGTGACAGAGTCCCTCTTCTGTCAGATGGCAGTCTTATCATGTAATACTGCTTAGTTTTTGGTATGCGTGTTGTATCTTAGGTACTTAATAAAGAGTAAAAAAATTAAAGATGATTCAGATATGTGGCTTCCTGGATGGTACACGCAAGTCCTTTCTTTGTAGGGATGTAATCTTTGGTGGCTATTAACTTAATTGGTTTTATAAAGCATCACCATGTATTTGTGTAACCCTTTGCATATTTTGAAAGTGCTTTCGCACATCTTTGGTATTAGCATTTTTTTTTTTTTAAACTAAGAAGTGAATTTGGGGCCCTGAAACTGAATTGTCCAACTATTTTGAAAAGCATGTACCTAGTAGCGTACTATAGCCTGCTATTTACTTAGTTAAAAAATCTTAGATTTTTAATCTGGAAGGTAAGAATGTGACACTTAATCTGCCCTTGCAGCCTTCTTCCATATGCTGTTTATGCAAAGCTGTTGGCTGTGCTTTAAGTACACCCTTGTTCCTAGACTCTGAGGTGGTCCAGAGTTTACTGGAGTGTATCCACCTGTCTTGATCATTTATTTAAGAATTTTGCAGGTGAGCATCAGTATTAACTAACATATCTTTTCACTTGATGAGAAAGATTGATTTTTCTTTAATTATGAACCTGAGTAGGTTTTAACTTTGAAGTGGGGAAGGGATACACTAAGGTAAAAGATAAAAGTTAAGTATTCTGATTCCTGAAGTTTTTTTCTTTCAGAAAAACTTAGTATTTTTGAGATAAAATTTGTGGAAGAGTTGCAATAGAGAGGTCTTATATATTTATTATCCAGTGTTAACATATTACATAAGGTACATTGAACAGAACTGATAAATTAACATCGATAAAATACTGTAAACTCAATGATAGACTTTATTTGGATTTCCTTAGTTTTTCTACTGAAGGCCTTTTTCTGTTCCAGGATCCGTCCAGGATGCCACATTGTATGTAGTCTCCTTAGTCTCCTGATTTGTGTCACTTTCTGTCTTTCCTTTTGTCTTTCATGACCATAACACTTGATCTCATTTGGATTTGATGTTAGGATTAGACTGAAATTACGGATTTTAGGAGGAGAATACCACAGAAATTGCCCTTATCAAGTCATATTGGGGATCCATAATATATAACTGGTTGAATTTAACCTCATGATTTTGTTAAGGTGTTATCTGTCAGGTTAGTATTTTTTCCCCTTTCCATACTATTTCTTAGATGCTAGTCACTAAGTCCAGCTCACACTCAAGGAGAGCAGGGAATTAGGCTCTACTTCTCTAGGAGGAGGAGAATGTGAATTTGTGGACATACATTAAAGCTACTGTTAATATTTTGGCATGCAAATAAAGTTCCCCTTAATTTTAGCATTTTAATGGATCTTGTCTGTAGGTGTTACTGCAGACAGTTATTACTGTTCTGATGGTGATTTTTTTGAAAAATTGCCTCATTCTTTCTACAGTATTATAAATTCTCTGTAAGGAAGATTTGTGTATTCTTCAGTTGTTTCTTTTCAGTCATTTATATCACTGTAGACCATGGATATTAATTTTGTTCTTTGGGTTGTAATCCACCATTATCCTTGCTGATATTTACTTATTTTTTAATATTTATTTTATATTTTTA